TAAAATGGCAACAACTGCAAATATGTTGCCGTCTACATGCAGAGAAAGTGCAAAATGGTAAAGCTGCTCTGCAATCGTCCTTTTATAAGGAATATAACCAGAATACAACCAGCCGAGTCAGCGTGTCACAGATGATATCGACGACTCAGATTTACTGCAACATGTTGGTAATCTGCAAACCTTCAACCTGAGAGTGATGGCGCTCCAACCGACCACGGTGGTTTGGAGAACGTCGCCTCCACCAGTGCCGTCGCCTCGCCATTAAATTCGGTCATCCAGAAGTTGAGGGTGTTTCTGGGTGACTGCTTTGATTGTACTTGCAAACTCCAACAGCAAAAGATGTTTGAACTTGTTTAAATGTAGTCTTTGGTTGGGCTTAGTCACAAAGACAGCTCAGTTATGCCGAATGTAATAAAACTGAAGCCTTCTTTGAATCGAACACGTCAGATTTAAAGCTGACATCCAGAACCTGCAGGGACTGTTTGTAAAAGGCACCAATCCTCTGCTTCGTTTTTGTTGAATATATTAAAGATACGTATCCAAGTAGCCTGAATTAACACGACGCCGTGGGTTGGTTTTCCTCTTTTTGAGTCACGGGTTGCCTTGGCAGTCTGATTTTTGAAGTGACATGCTTCTTATTTAGGTTTTCACAGGTTGACATTCAGCTTGAGGTGCAGAGACTTGCAGACATCAACGGCAGAGATAATTAAAAGCGGCACGCTGACAGCTGAAGATCCGTCCACTCACCGCTGTCCAGCATCGTCCTCGCCGCATCAATTAGATCTGCTTTGCATAAGGGCGAACGCACACACACCAGCAAATGTCATATGCTTTTAGTGATTCCTGTTATCTCTCAAAGCCGGCCTCTATATTTAAAACCATATATACATATGCGGCCTTCATCTCCAGCTCCAGAATAACCTTTAGAGAGCTCGTGCTCGGGCTGGAGGTGTTATGAGGAGTTCAGAGAAAGAAAGCAACGTTTTCAACGCTACAGTAACAGGAAGGAAAAGAAACCACCTCACAACAGCTGCGGGTCAAGCTCCAGTTTAATAACATGTGGTAATGAAACAGCTGATTAATATTCATCCGGCTGCACGACACTGAGCTGTTATCTACTAAGGTGAGACAGTGAGGAATTACTAAATTACACACCTGAAAGCTGTGGAGGCAGAGAAGCTCCAGGTCAGCACAGATTCATCTTTCTTTTAATCTCAGCAACACCAGGTTGGAAACATCAAACGAAAACGTTTGTTTTGCACCTTCGCTCCACGATTTGGGTTTGAAGATTCCTTCAACTAGTGACACAAATCAGGAAAAGTATCCACGCTGGCTTCTTTACGCCAAACATAACCCATGTGACCACGGTTAAAACATGGCTGCCAAGGTGACATGTAGTTGTTGCTTCCTTTGCTTTATTGATGCTTTCTTTCTCTGGATGCTTGTTTTTGGCTTATTTGGATATTTGGGTTTTTTTTGTTAATTATTGGATTCTTTGTAACTCGTTGCTTCCTTCTTTTCTTACGCAGAGATTTTTAAGGCGACGATTGACAAAGAAAAGCATGAAGGAGAAAGTGAACGTGCCTAATTTCAGGTTTTTCAGAACAGGAAATTTGAGAATTAATTAAAATGCATTTATATAGAAATTCTTCCTTCTTTTGTTTCTTGGAGGTTTTTCCTTTCAGGATATGTTTTTATTTTTTGGCAGTTTCATGCTTTAGATCAGGGGTGTCAAACTCAAATACACAGTGGGCCAAAATTCAAAACTGGAACAAAGTCG